GTATGCTCAGGAAGCTCGTCATGACCCTGTGAGTGTGATGAGCACGGCACCGTGACTCGCTAAGGCTCATAGGGAAGAAGAGATCACCTTCTCCAAGAAAGACACGGTGCGATTGCATTATCCCCATGAGGATGCACTTGTTATCGCGTCTGAAATAGGTCGATGTGAAGTCCATAGAATGTTGGTGGACAATGGAAGCGTTGTAAATATCCGGTTTCAAGGCGTTTTTGAAAAAATGCAATTAGACAAGGTAGACCTGAAGCCTGCCTCCATCCCTCTCTATGGTTTTACTAGGGATCATCTTATTCCTAGGAGAACGATCTCACTCCCGGTCACGTTGGGTGAAACCAACGAAACGACCAAAATGAGGGCATTTTTGGTGGTAAACTGTCCGTCCGCCTTTAATGACATTCTAGGACGACCTCTACTACGAAATTTCAAGGCGGTCACCTCCATCTACCATCTGAAAATGGAGTTCTTCACCTCGACGAGGATTGGGGAAGTAAAAGGATCTAAATGCGAATCTCGCAACTGCTACATAAGAGCAGTGCAGATTGTGTGCAAGGGAAAGGGAAGGCTACTGAGCATCCTCGAGCAGGATATGGCGATCAGCAGAATTAAGCCACAACCCGACCTAGTAGAGGACAATATGGATCCTTGCATCCAAGAGTGCTGTAACACCCCCTCCAGTCGGGTACCCTCTAAGTATTCCATTAGGATGGAAAGTTAGAGAATTCATGCCTGGAAGGTTGTGTAGTTTAAAAAGTAAATCCTGGTTACAAACATGTACTATATGAAAATATGGTTTAAAGAAAACAACAACATCAATTGTTTAATGGCGGAAGCAAATATAAAATATCTCCCATCATTTATAAGCAAAACATATTTATTATTTCATAAAACTTAGATTATAGACATTAAACTATATACATTAAATTCAAAAGCAACCTCATTTATATAACATCATAAGTTTAATTATAACAAAAGTTAACATGCATGTCCCCAAGCCCCCTTGACTGCTGCTCGCCATTACCGCTTTAACCATTACCTACAAAACATGGAAACTAGGGAAATGAGTGCTAATCACACAGTAAGGGTATTGATCATTTAACCCTATGTAATATTCTTAAACTTAGAAAGCTTCTTATTTACTTGTACATGAACCAAACATGAATAACATAAAAGCAATATAACATAGCATATTCAATTCATATCATATTGCATAATATAATTCATGTAATGCTTTCTTTTTAATGTTCATGAATAATGCACATCAATGCCATGCATATATAAATACATTTTTCTTTTAGTGTCTGCCAATCGGACTAAACTGAGGCATGGATTACGGAACCTTTGGCCAATGAGCTAACCTTAACTTATAACACTGTCCCCATGGTCATGCACGCTATGGACTATTCATTTCTTTTGGTCTAGACATGTGCATGAGTGAGCTCAGTTTCCCCATAACATGCCAACAGCTTCCATAGAATTTACTAATCATTTTCTTCACCAAAATGCATATCTATGTACCTTGGAAACATTTTGCTCAAACTTGGGATCAAGTCCCCTCCTTTTTCATCATTAATATGATTGACATGCTTCATTCTTTAAAAACATACACTTTCCATATATGAACATATCATTTCATCATGACCACTTTGTGGATGCATAACAAATTCTTAGAAACATATCATTCTTAGGCTTGTTTATACATACACAAGCTCATACTTAGGTAATACATAACATATTACACATAACCTCCATGGTCATTCATTACATCAAATATATATGTTCATACAATCATTAAATAATCAAAAGATTACTCATTCAAACATGCTTCAAAACCCTTTAAGCACCATTTCCACACTTGCAATCAATCATAGATTACTAGGCTAAAAATAAATTAAGAAATTAGAAACACTTTTGAGGTAGTCATTCTGCACAGGTCAGATTCAAGAAGACATATCTCGAGTTATACACATTGGATTGATATGATCTTGGACTTGTTTTAAAGATTAGAGAAAGGGCTACAACTTTATGCTTAGCTGTCAACCCAGTTCAATAGGTAAGTGGCCCAAAAATCACTCAAAAAGTCACGGATTTGATAGGGCAACCATGGTAACATGCCTATTTTAAGGCTTTTCCATACCTATTTACCTCCACTTACTCCCTAACCTTTCCTAACCATTATCCCCTCTGGAAAAATGTTAATCGATCAATAATAACCTCCCTTGTAATATGTTAAAAACTCATGTCACAACTAATTCTATTGATTGTCATCAAACTTCAATTTTTTTTTTTTTTTTTTTTACAATTCACATATAAATCCATCAATTATAACATCAAACCAAGCTCAATTGCTATTGTGTGACAAGAATTAAGGTTCCCTAATACTAAACCTAGAAACCTAATTCTTATTTCATATTAATGGGAGGTTTCCCTTACCTTGTGTGAAGAAACCACACTCCTTTACAAATTTCCTCCTCCTTATCTCCAATTGACTCTTTATCCTAACATAAATTATAAGAAAACTTTAATAACTTGAAATACATAATATTTATATAAGATAAGGAGTTGAACTTTACCTCCTAATATCCTTAATAAAGGAAGAAATATAAGACACTTGGGAGATTGCAACTAAGAGACTTGACATTTTAATGGAGGAAATAGAATTTATGGAGAAGTATTGAAGAAGATTATGGAATATTGTAGAAAGTTTGAAGAAGATAAAGGAAAGTGGTAGAAGACATGTGTTGGCCGACTCATATCAACCAAAATCAGGAAATTATTATTATTTTGTTTTTTTTTTTTTTTTTGTTGCAAAAGAATTACTCATTTGTCTTTTTCATTTAATGACTTATAACATTATTTCCCTTTTTGCCCTTAACAATTGTCTTTTAATTACTCCTTAATCCTTCATCATCTTTGTCTTGTCAAGCCAACAAAATATCATCATTCTTTTACCACTTTACCCCTAAGGCATGTGCATAGTAGTTAACTTAGCACATAAAAAGGAAAATACTATTTTACCCTTGGACATATTGGTGGGGTTTACATTTCTTCCCTTCTTATAGGAATTTCGTCCCCGAAATTAAGCAAATAACTCTAGGTAATGGTCTTTCATGTCTTGCTCTACTTCCCAAGTAGCTTCCTCAACCTTGTGATTTCTCCAAAGAACTTTGACGAGTGGAATACTTTTATTCTGGAGCTTTTTAATCTTTCTATCCAATATTTAGACTGAACGCTCCTCATAAATCAAATTCTCCTTCAGTTTTACTTCCTCAGCTCGTAATACATGAGAATGATCATTTATGTACTTGCGTAACAATGACACATGAAAAATATTATACACTTATTCCATGCTCGATGGTAATGGAAGTCTATAAGCTACTTTTCCAATCATTTCTAATACTTCAAAAGAACCAATGTATCATGGAGCAAGCTTTCCTTTTCTACCAAATCTCATAACATGTTTGTATGGGGCAACCTTAACAAACGCATTGTCCCCTACTTGAAATTCCACTTCTTTTCTCTTCAAGTTTACATAGCTCTTTTGGTGATCCTGGGCTTGTTTCATTCTCTCTCTAATTAACCTAATATCTTCAACCATCTTTTGAGTCATCTCTAGTCCTAAGGCTTGAACCAAAGACCCCTTCTCTCCTACTTCATCCCAATAAAAAGGTGATCTACACTTTCTCCCAAATAGAGCTTCATATGGTGCCATCTGGATAGTAGCCTGATAACTATTATTATAGGCAAATTCCATTAATGAAATTATATCACTCCAATTCACTTTATGATCCATACAATTAGCCCGTAACATATCTTCAATCACCTGATTGGTTCTCTCAATTTAGCCATCTATTTGGGGATGATAAGTCGTACTAAAAGCTAGTCTTGTACCCAGCGCCGTTTGTAACCCATGCCAAAAGGCTGAAACAAATCTTGAATCTCTATCTGACACTATTGTCTTGGGCACACCATGTAACCTCACAATTTCTTTTACATAAATTTGACCCAATTGATCTGAAGTAGTTGTATCCTTCACTGGTATGAAGTGCGCTGACTTATAAGTCTATCCACAATCACCCATAGTGCATTATACCCTTTCTGTACTCTTGGAAGGCCAACAATAAAATCCATAGATATGTCTTCCCATTTCCATTCGAGAATACTAAAACGCTGTAGTAATCCTAATGGTCGTTGGTGTTCAGCTTTAACCTACTGACAAATTAAACATTTAGCAACATAATCACTGATATCTTTCTTCATACCTGACCACCAGTAGTTTTTCTTTAAATCTTGGTACATCTTTACACTCCCAAGATGGGCTATATAAAGTGTATCATGTGTTTCTCTAAGAATTTTACTCTTCAACTCTACATCTTGAGGAACACACAACCTATCTTGAAATTCCAAGATACCATTCACTACTCTAAAATTTGTCTCTTTGCCCTCATTTACTTGCATGTAGATTTCCTTGCAAGAATCATCCATTACTTGTTTTTCTTTGATCCCCTCCATTAAAGCAGATTTGATTTCCAATCTAGCACATCCTCCAATTACAACCTCAATTTTTGCCCTGAGAATTTCTTGTTGCAACTTTTTTTGTACTGTGATCTGGAATAAAGGAACTTTCCGGCTTAAGGCATCTGCTACTACATTAGCTTTCCCCGGATGGTACTTGATTTCACAGTCATAGTCTTTGACTAACTCTAACCATCTTCTCTACCTTATATTCAACTCTTTTTTAGTGAAGAAATATTTTAAACTCTAGTGGTTTGTGTAAATATTACTCTTGACACCATATAGGTAATGATGCCAGATTTTTAAGGCAAACACCACTGCTACCAATTCTAAATCATTGTAGGGTACCTTAGTTCATAATCTTTCAGCTGTCTAAAGGCATAGGCTATTGCCTTCTCATTCTGCATCAATACTGCCCCAAGACCACTGTGTGAAGCATTGGTATAAATGTCATAATCAACACCCTCCTCGGACTAAGCTAAAATGGCAGTTGTGGTCAATCTCCTCTTTAACTCCTGAAAACTCTGTTCACATAAATCTATCAACTGAAAAGGAGTCTCATTCTTGGTAAGTGCAGTGAATGGACGAGCAATTTTAGCAAACCCTTGCACAAATTTTCTATAATACCCAGCCAAGCCTAAAAAACTCCTCACCTCCTTCACTGTTATTGGCCTTTTCCATTCAAGTACTGCATCTACCTTACTAGGATCCATTGATATGCCTTCCTTGGAAACCACATGACCAAGAAACATTACCAGATCCAACCAAAACTCACATTTGGAGAACTTGGCATACAATTGCTTCTCCCTTAATCTTTGCAATACAAACCTCAAATATTCTTCATTTGTTTTATAGTAGACCAGGATATCATCTATAAACACCACAAGAAACTTATCTAGGTAGTCATGGAAAACCCTATTCATCAAGTCCATAAATACTACTGGCACATTGGTCAAGCCAAAAGGCATCACAACAAATTCATAGTGTCCAACCTAGTTCGGAAGGCAGTTTTCTGAATGTCATTCTTTGCAATTTTGATTTGATGGTAGCTCGACCTCAAATCAATTTTAGAGAACACTGAAGCACCTCTTAGCAGATCAAATAAGTCATCAATACGAGGCAATGGATATTTATTCTTCACTATCACCTTATTCAACTCTCGATAATCGATGCACATCCGAAGGGATCCATCCTTCTTCTTGACAAATAGAATTGGAGCACCCCATGGTGAATGACTCGGTCTGATAAAACCTTTATCTAATAACTCTTGAAGTTGTTTCTTTAACTCTTAGAGTTCTACTAGAGCCATTCTATGCGGAGCTTTTGAAATTGGTGTGGTACTCGGATCCAACTCTATACAACATTCTACTTCCCTTTCTAGACACCTGGTAATTCATTTGCAAATACATCCGTAAATTCCCGAACTACGGGCACATCATACACACTAGGGCTTGGAGTCTTCGCCTTATTCACTACATGAGCTATATATCCTATACACCCTTTTCTCAACATCTTCGTCACTTTGATGACACTTATCATACCACTAAGTACGCGACCCTCTCTAAAATTAAACTTATCCCCATTATCTAAATTAAATCTAACCCTTTTCTTGCGACAGTTTATCTATGCTCCATACCTACCTAGGAAATCCATGCCTAGGATAACATCACAATTGGGCATATAAAAAATAATCAAGTTAACTTCTAACTCTTGTCCGTCAATAACTATTGTTTCCTCAAAAAGAACCTCACTAGTTACTACATTTTTCCCATCTGGCAACTCTATCTTTAAGACTGGTTCCACTTTATTAGGCTTTAATCCTAATTTTTCAACAACTCCATAGGAAATAAAGGAGTGGGTAGCTCCTGAGTCAATTAAAGCATATAATGGGACATAGTGGAAATATAACCAACCATTGACTGCTGATGGGTTGGCTTCTGCCTGGTTTTGGGAGATAGTGAATACTGTGGCATTAGCTCCTCCAATTTTCTAAGTTTCCAGGGGACGAGGATTTCGACAATCTCTTGCCAAATGGTCTGTTTTTTTGCACTTGAAACACACATTTTCTCCTATGAGACATTCCCTTTTATGCTGCTTGCCACATTTCTGACAATAAGGGAGATTATTCTTCTTCTGATGTTGCCTTTTACCCTTCCAATTCTTCTTATTTACTTGAGGTTGAAAGTTCTTGTTTTTACTGTCTTTGGCAAGGGAAAGGGTTTCATCACTACTTTTTTGTGGCTCTAAAAGAGGATTATTTGCTACAACTACTAGTTTGGACTGCTGAACAACTCTATTGACATACACTTCTACCCGCAATGCTCGATTCAAGGCTTCACCATATGTCTGTGGAGGCTGAGCACCCACCATAACATCTCGAGCTATCTCGAGGTATAACCCATTTACAAATCTCTCCATTCTTGCCATAGGAGTACCAACTATAACAGGAGCAAATCGAGCTAATGAGTTGAATAGAATATAATACTCCTTAACTATCTTACTCCCTTGTTGTAGATTCATAAATTCTTGAGTCTTAACAAACAACATATATGCTGTCATATACTCTGCATCAAACAACATTTTAAAATCATCCCAAGTAAGAGTAGCAATATTGTGAGTCTGTTCCATTAATTCCCACCAAATTCTAGCATCACCCTGTAGCAAATAGGTGGCATATCAAATCTTTTCCTAATTTGTCATTATAAACAACGCCATTGCCCTCTCCACTGCTTTAATCCATTTCTCAGCTGCTGATAGATCAGTACTGTCCCTGAATTCAGGTGGCTGGTGCTTGCTTGGGAGCCGATAAATAGGTTCCAGTTATGCTTGAAAAGTTGTGGGTATTGAGGAGTGATAATCCAAGGATTATACTATTTTATTTAGGCTTTTTGACCAGATTTTAGATACGTCTTAGTTTGTTTATGCCTGAATTGCTACTTAATTCTATATATTTTATGTTTCAGGCCGAAACGTGCATTTGTAGCAAATAATGAGCGAATTGAAGTTTCTAGACCCAGAAGTAAGCGAATCTCAGAATTTAGGAAAGTTCTAAAGTGGAGTGAAGCATTATGAAGCTTGTTCCCATGGGAAAGCATCAAAGATCGAAGATTTAAGCAAGGAAGCAAGCGGAGGGCAATTCTGTAAATTCAAAATTTTTCAGGAAGGTTCGCTAGGCACGAGATTTCACATTAGCTCGTCGTTGCAGCGAAACTGTTTCTTCATCGCGGCGAACGCACAGTTTTATTTTAGGAAAGTTTTAGGTTTTTGGGCGAACTATTTAAGGGAAACTTTGCCATTTTGAGAGGGGCTCGTCTGGGTTCATCTTGATTCATCTTTGTTTGAGAATAGCTTTGATATTTTGGAAAGAAAGGGAGAAGATTTTGGGATTTAAACTTGCAGATTCTTCAACTAGGGGAGATCTCTGTTCTCTTCTCTTTGTCTCAATATGTTGACTGCTATGTTTATTGTCTTTCTAGCTATTTGTGTTAATTTAGTTATGAACTAATCCATTTTTTGTTAGGGTTTTAATGTAAATCGGATTTCTATGGATTAATCAATTGATTATTGTTGCTTTTGCATTCTATTGCATAGATTGTGTGGTTATTTTGATTTTTATTGATTGTATTTGTTGAACATGATGAGATTGAGAAATGAATCATGTTAAGCTTCTTGGGTAATCACCATTGTAGTATTGAATGCTAGAGATAGGTTTGAGAATCAATGAAATCAATCTAGGATTCCATAAGCTTAATGAATTTGGAACTATTAATCTTCAAATTGTTGGATGCGGAAGTTTAATAGGGAAAAGTAGGAATTCATAGCCTGAGAAGGTATGTGTGACAACTTAGGGAATTTGATTTACAATCCGTGCATGTGAGTGTAGAAGTAGCATAATCCATAGAGTTAATCCATAGAGTCCGAATGAAGTCAAACCCTAACCGTTTGCTTACATTGATATTACTCTTGTGTTAAATCTTGCTTTCATAATTTAATTGTTTTTACATTTAATAAATTTTGCTTTCAGTTAAGTTTAATCTCTCCCATAAATCCAAACAATTTTCAGTTTCTCCAACTTGAAAACAAATAGGAAATTCATTGTTTAGCAACCAATCCTCGTGGGAACGATACTCACTCATCACTTTATTACTTTATGCGACTAGTGCACTTGCTATATTTGCATGTTGTAGTAACAACGCATCAAGTTTTTGGAGGGGTATGGTTGAAGAATTCGCAAGATTAAATCCCAAAATCTTCTCCCTTCCTTTCCAATATATCAAAGCTCTTCTCAAACAAAGATTAATCAAGATGAACCCAGACAAGCCCCTCTCAAAATGGCAAAGTTTCCCTTAAATAGTTCGCCCAAAACCTAAAACTTTCCTAAAATAAAACTGTGCATTTTGGAGAAAACAAAATTTCTCACTCATTTCTCAACTGCTGATGGATCAGTAGTGCCACTGAATTCAGGTGGCTGGTGCTTGCTTGGGAGCTAATAAATAGGTTCCAGTTATCCTTGAGAAGGTGTGGGTGTTGAGGAGCTAGGCCCTGCACCCTGATTTGGAGGTGGTACAATCGTATTCTGATTACCTAAGGCCTCCCTTATAATTGCCTGGATCATATCTCCCATTGTGGCAACATCCAATCCTGTTGAAACATTTGGATTGGCACCTACAGGTGGAGTTAGAGTTTGCTTACCTCGCATGGATCTAGTTTCTCGACTCATGGACACTTATAGAGTAAAAAGAAATGAACAAACTCTGTTAGTTCATCAACTTAAACTTAAACAAGTAATGGAAAAACATCCAGCAGTTAACTTGCGAAGGCATGTCAATGTAGCATGAGGAACATACTAAAAACTTCACTAAATAACAATCTAGTTCCATAAAATAGAAAACATCCCTTAAGTACCAGAACCGTGCTTTGATACCAACTGTAACATCCCCCTCTAGCTGGGTACCCTCTACGTATTCCATTAGGATGGAAAGTTAGAGAATTCACGCCTGGAAGGTTGTGTAGTTTAAAACATAAAGCTTGGTTACAAACATGTACTATATGAAAAATATGGTTTAAAAAAAACAACAATATCAATTGTTTAATAGCGGAAGCAAATATAAAATATCTCCCATCATTTATAAGCAAAACATATTTATTATTTCATAAAACTTAGATTATAGTCATTAAACTATATACATTAAATTCAAAAGCAACATCATTTATATAATATCATAAGTTTAATTATAACAAAAGTTAACGCGCATGCCCCCAAGCCTCCTTTACTGCCGCTCGCCGTTACCACTTTAACCATTACCTGCAAAACATGGAAACTAGGGAAATGAGTGCTAATCACTTAGTAAGGGTATCGATCATTTAACCCTATGTAACATTCTTAAACTTAGAAAGCATCTTATTTACTTGTACATGAACCAAAAATGAATAACATAAAAGTAATATAACATAGCATATTCAATCCATATAATATTGCATAATATAATTCATGTAATGCTTTCCTTTAATGTTCATGAATAATGCACATCAATGCCATGCATGTATAAATACATTTTTCTTTGAAAACCTTTTTACTGTCTGCCTATCGGACTATACTAAGGCATGGATTACGGAACCTTTGGCCAATGAGCTAACCTTAACTTATAACACAGTCCCCATGGTCATGCACGCTATGGACTATTCATTTCTTTTGGTCTAGACATGTGCATGAGTGAGCTCAGGTTCCCCATAACATGCCAACAGCTTCCATAGAATTTACTAATCATTTTCTTCACCAAAATGCATGTCTATGTACCTTGGAAACATTTTGCTCAACCTTGGGATCAAGTCCCCTCCTTTTTCATCATTAATATGCTTGACATGCTTCATTCTTTAAAAACATACACTTTCCATATATGAACATATCATTTCATCATGACCATTTTGTGGATGCATAACAAATTCATAGAAACATATCATACTTAGGCTTTTTTATACATACACAAGCTCATACTTAGATAATACATGACATATTACACATGACCTCCATGGTCATTCATTACATCAAATATATAGGTTCATACAATCATTAAATAATCACAAAGATCACTCATTCAAACATGCTTCAAAACCCTTTAAGCATCATTTCCATACTTGGAATCAATCATAGATTATTAGGCTAAAAATAAATTAAGAAATTGGAAGCACTTTTGAGGTAGTCATTCTGCACAGGTCAGATTCAAGAAGGCATATCTCGAGTTATACACATTGGATTGATATGATCTTAGTCTTGTTTTAAATATTAGAGAAAGAGCTACAACTTTTATGTTTAGGTGTCAACCCAATTTGATAGGTAAGTGGCCGAAAAATCACTCAGAAGGCCACGAATTTGACGGGGCAACCATGGTAACATGCCTATGTTAAGACTTTTCCATACCTATTTACCTCCACTTACTCCCTAACCTTGCTTAACCATTCTTCCCTGTGGAAACATGTTAAATGATCGGTAATAACCTCCCTTGTAATATGTTAAAAACTCATGTCACAATTAATTCCATTGATTGTCATCAAACTTCATTTTTTTTTTTTTTTACAATTCACATATAAATCCATCAATTATAACATCAAACCAAGCTCAGTTGCTATTGTGTGACAAGAATTAAGGTTCCCTAATACTAAACCTAGAAACCTAATTCTTATTTCATATTAAAGGGAGGTTTCCCTTACCATGTGTGAAGAAACCACACTCCTTCACAAATTTCCTCCTCCTTATCTCCAATTGACGCTTTATCCTATCATAAATTATAAGAAAACTTTAATAACTTGAAATACATATTATTTATATAAGATAAGGAGTTGAAATTTACCTCCTAATATCTTTAATAAAAAAAAGAAATATAAGACACTTGAGAGATTGCAACTAAGAGACTTGAAATTTTAATGGAGGAAATAGAATTTATGGAGAAGTATTGAAGAAGATTATGGAATATTGTAGAAAGTTTGAAGAAGATAACGGAAAGTGGTAGAAGACATGTGTTGGCCGACTCATACCAACTAAAATCAAGATTTTTTTATTTTTTTTATTTTTTTATTTTTTTTATTTTTTTTAATTTTTTGCAAAAGAATTACTTATTTGTCTTTTGCATTTAATGACTTATAACATTATTTTCCTTTTCGCCCTTAACAATTGTCTTTTAATTACTCCTTAATCCTTCATCATCTTTATCTTGTCAAGCCAACAAAATATCATCATTCTTTTACCACTTTACTCCTAAGGCATGTGCATGGTAGTTAACTTAGCACATAAAAAGGAAAAGACTATTTTACCCTTGGACGTATTTGTGGGGTTTACAAATGCCCTCACAGTGGGCCAGTTGAGGACCTATCTGAGGTGTCACTTGATCTAAATGAGTCGACCCGAGTATTGAGAATTGGGAGTAATCTCAACCCCCAGCTCGCCAAAAGCCTAGCAAGCTTCCTCAGAGAATGTCAATGTTTTTGCATAGACTCATGCTGACATGATCAAGATCAGCCGAATATCATATGTCATGCACTCAACATTGATAGTGCAGTCAAGCCGGTTCGCCAAAAGAGAAGAGCCATGGACCCTAAGTGCTATGCTACCTTGAAAACTGAGGTAGATAAGC